AAAATAATGAAAGAAAATATATTGATTGTATGTTGTTTTACGTCCAATTCGATAATATTTCATTCATAGAGAAAAGTCACCAAAACATCGGTGAAGGACTTCAAATTTAGACTTTCATTGGGCATTAAGGCCCTCAACTGCTGATTTTGATTTTCAGTTTTCCAAGTTTACTGATATGAGTTTACTTCTTCATCCTCGTTTTAAGTCATCATTTCGCTAATTCTACCATAATGAAAGAATGACTTTGAAAGCAATTAAAATCTATCATTTAGTATAACGCTGACTGACTTTTCCATACAAATTCGTATGCTATTATTGAAACACTGAATTGTGTACATTTTTTTTGCTTACCTGATCATGACAATTCTTCAAGAGCACACGATGGATGTGACTGGTCGACGTGCGATGCTATGCTTGCTCCTCCATGGCACCTTATCCAACCTCTGATTTTAAAGTGTTAGCTCAGTTGCTGATTTGAATTGTTTCAATAGACTATTGAGTTTGAATTCTGTTCATATCTTCATATTTCATTCTTAAAAAACTTTTCATCAAAGTCATGAACTTTGTGAGAATTTTAGTCCTTCATCTTTTCATTTCTGCATCCTTAAATTACAAGTGAAGTGATTATTTTCTACAAATCCGACATAAGTACATTAGTAAAAATTAAAGCGATATTAAAGAGACAATTGATTCGTTGATTTTTAGCTTGTGGAAAAAAATTCAGTTTAGCTTTATGTGAATTAAGAACGTCTTGTAAAAACCCAAGTATATTTTGGTTACTTTAGTAAGCTGTTTCGACAATTCCAATTCTAACACTTAGAAAACAACCAAAGAGCAAACGTCTCAATAAATCTTAAATATGGTCTTCGCCCACCAAAGATTATCAAAAAATGAACGATGCCATTTATTTTGGAATTGAAAGCTCTCATGCTATTGATTTTGCTTGCCACAATTCTATCCCCGATTTCCTTCTCTTAAGCATTTGATTTATTATACTGAAGTGTTTCTACAACAAGATGTTGAGCATCTTCATAGATGATGAAATGTCCTTATCTAGTCAACTACTTGTGTAAAATAAAAGTTTCTTTAGAACATGTATTAGCGAAGAGAAAGGCCTCTAGAAAATAGCAAAAAAATTTCTACAAGACAAAAGATAATTCTAAATGATAATTTAGAAGAATTTATGATGGAAACTGCTTTGAATTTATAATTGCTTGTGCGTCTTCTATCAAATCCGTCACCCTGAATACCAAGAGTTTATGTTGGATGACCTTAAAAATGATATTCTAGTTAAAGGCAAACATTTCATAGCAAATTATAATAAGGTTTAAGTGGGTTCCAGTTAAACAATGTTCTACCAAACATCGTTCTTTAATTTTCACCAAAATATAAGCAAAGGAAAAGCTTCAGAAGTATTTCATAAAACACGTTTGAAAAACAGTGTGAATCAAGATACTGATGCATTGAAAAATAGAAAGTAAAAAACAATTCAAAAATACAATACAAGTATTTACCAGAAACACCAAAAGGTACGATTTAATTCTTTTTTTTTTCAAACAATTGCCCATAAAGATTGTAATTCCACACTCTTTAACCTTAGGTTGTCGCTGTTTCAATAAAATTGCTGTTTCAATAAAAAAAAATCGAAACCCAATATTATAGATAATTTGTTTTTGCATATTAGTCATCTGCAAATAAATAAGTTTAAAAACATTCACATTGTACACAAAAGACCTCTGTGGTTGATATCAAATCGAATAACAATAAACCAATAGAAATCTATGACGTCACTAAGCGCGAGCTTCGCCATGTATAATTCTACGTGTAAGTACTTTATACCTCCCCGTGTTATTTTCGCCCTTTCACACTCGCGAACGAGTTTGTCCAGCTTTAAATTCACCCAGTCACAGTTTTGCTTCTTGTGTTCTTTGAAATCGTCCTGTTTTAAATTTGTTAGAGGGGCGAAAGGGACGAAAATAAAACTGGGGCGAAATTTTCTCTGTGCAATGTATACACAAAAAGATTTTAACAAAACCACCCATACCAAAAGATACTATTTCTTTTTTCCAACATTGCCCACATAAAATGTAAGTTCACACTCTTTGACCAAAGGTTGTTGGTGTTTCAATGCAATTGTATCCTTAAATTATAGATAATTTGTTTTTTTTTTATTAATCTACAAATAAATTTAGTTTAAAAACATTCTCATTACACACAAGTCCTTTGTGGTTGATATAAAATCGATTGAAAATATATCAAGGTTATTTTTAAAGCAAATCTGCAAATAATCTGTTTGGATTTCCAAGGGTTTACTATTGCACTCAGCAAATAGAAGATGTTCCTACGAAACAAAATTATTTAAAATTTTCTACATACAAAATAAAAATTATATCTTGCTTAGTCCTAAGCTTAAACAAATATGTAACGGGAGAGGAGAAAAATGAAGCGGACCATACCTGGATTCGAACTCAGACCCCCTGATAATGCGGTCAGGTGCTCTACCAACTGAACTATCTGACCACAAGCATTTTAACATAACAGTTTAACAATTTGGTTACGTTAATTCGATGTTGAACTTGAATTAAAGAAACAAAAACAATAGTTCATATTCGTTTTTTTTCCTCGAGAAGAATATTAATGGTAACCTGAAAATTAAGCTTTATCATAAACGTGATGATTTCAATATTCCAATGTTCACTTTCCCATATATTTATCCTAGCAATTTACCAGAATCATCTGCATATGGAGTTTATTTCTCCCAATTGTTTCAATATGCAAGAGCATGCTCTGAGTACTTGCTATATCTAGATCTCAGCAAGTGTCTGACAGATCATTAACAGTCTATATAATAACCAAGTTAGAAAATATAATCTATCTTTGATTGAAATGTTAATTGAATTTCTTTATCGAAATAGACTGCGTCTCAGTATGAGTTTAAAAAAAATAAATGAAAGGGAAGTAAAACAAATGAAACAACAGAAAATATCAAATTGCTAATATATTCATTCTAACTTGATGAATACTGTGTATTTCCGTTTGACTGATCCTCACTTTAAGGGTACACAGTGGACGTGACCGATCTGATGGGGATGGTACGTCCTCCATAGCATCTCATCCCATCTCCGTATATTTCATTCCCGTTATGTTTAGCTATTGTTTGCTCATAATTTGTATTCTTCCAATGGACTTTAGAGCTTGATCACTGTTCGTTACCTTCTTTTTCAATATGTGAACAAAGTATTATAATTATGTATAATTTATAGTTGACTTAATGAATGTGTCGCACGCTGGCTTATTGCTTTAAAAATCTTTATCAACAATTCTTAATTTTGTAAAGGTAATTTAGTGTAAAAATAAGATTGATAAACGTACGTAGCAAACCTTTAATGTACATTGCATTCGATGAGGCACCTTGCAGCAGGTTTATAGATATGAACATTTTTTACAGAACCAACTAACTAGATGTTAAGAATAATAAATCAATCAAGACCTTTTAAAAGAGGACATCACTAATTATCAAGTCAGCGCATTTGAAAATATAGTCCTACTCAAACCTCAAAGACTGTAATGTTTTTACCCGAAAAAAGTCAATAATTGTATATTGACAATAGAAAAAACAACGACGATTAAATTTGTCGATTACCACTAGCAGGTGTTAAGATACTTTTGATCATTAGAACAATATCATCACTCTTATAAAAAGATTGAGTGGTATGATTGATCATAAGAAGAATGAGTTGTGTGATAGATATATAGAGAAATAGAAAATTAAGTGATGTGATAGGCAGAAGATCAGAAAAATGAGTAATGTGATAGGGTGAAGATCAGAAGAATGTGATCAGATGTGATACACATTTAGAAGATTAGAATATTAAGTGATGTGATAGACAGTTTGAAGAACAGAATAATAAATGATGTGATGGACAAAAGAACAGTAAAATTAGTGATGTGATAGACGTTTAGATGATCGGAAGAATATGTGGTGTAATAGAGAGAAGACCAAAGGAATGTGCGACATGATAGAAGACAGAAAATCATAAGAAGTGACATGATAGATAGGAAGAAGATTAGCGTTCCTGGAACATGATGAACAGTGAACAAATAAATGAAGTGTAAATAGATATCCTAAAATCTTTTCGAGTGGTGCCCGTTATCGAAATGATAGGAAATGTCTTTAATTTTACTTTTCATTCACAAAACAACACATGATTAAGAAAAGAAATAACTTATGCATGGACACGACAATAATTATGAGTCAATGTTAATAAACCAATATGTATAGTATACACAAAAATGGTTTTCAAATCAATATCAAAGTAAGCTTAGTGGAAAAAAAAATGGCAAATGTAAATATTACAAAATTATAAAATACAGTTTATTTATATAATGCTTGCGGCATATTTCCACCAAAGCCTCTAAAGTGTCATTCATCAATATGGTTTAGAACTTACTTCATTGCTTTCACTTCGGAATGATGTATCAAAAATGGCATTTCGTAGGTTAAAAATATTAATAATTAATGACTTACTTCTCTGTTTTCCTGTTGCCTTCAATTATTTTGCTTTGTCAAATGACAGAAAAACTTCGATCATTTGATAGAAAGAGATGGTAGATTTTGTTATTGGTAATAATGACAATTACAGGACACCTTTTGAGGTGATATTCTTTCAATAAATTTAGCAAGTTTTTCGAAATGAAAATATTTACATGTATAAAGTTAATCTATCTTCGAGGAGTGCTCCTTAAGGTATACCATGTGCTAGATTAGGGTTAAAAGAGGAACCCTTTGATGCTTTCTTCTGATTGAACTTATCAAAGAAAAAAAAAAACAAGCAATAGTTTTACAGTCTAGTATTTATACAGATAATATTTTAAAGTAATGTAAAGCATTGTCCAACCGTTATTTTCATATTTTTTGGATTATTTAGAATAAACAATGCATAATCCATACTACTTTTTTATCCTGCTGCTGATAATTTATCAAAGCATGCAATATCCATTAATTCTTTTATGATAACTGAACGCAATTGATGTTACCATTTAAAGCTTTATTATGAAAATGATAGCAGCACAAAAATAAATTGATAATAATTCTGATGATTATCGATACGTCGCAGCGGTGGACATGGGGGAAGCTGATGCTTATCAGTTATAGCACTCTTTTTTATGGGGGTGACAATATGGATAACGACTACAACAGTCATTGGACGTTTGACATTTGTAACCATGCCAACAATCATGACAAACTTTGACGTAGGGATCGCAAATATTATGACGTTGACAACAGTCTGAGGACGTAGAGCACCGCTGACGATAGCAGTTTGTGTTTGGAAGGCTCTCCCATGGTCGCCAGTAGGAACTGTACCTGTAATATTTGAAAGAAAAACTGTATATAAACAATGCACTGTGTGTGGTGTATGGTGTTGTTTTCACCAAAATTGTGTGAAATTGATTAAAAACATTAATTTTAAATGTTACCGTCAATCTCACGCAGTATTCATAAATATTGTATATATTACTCATTTTGTTTGTTTGTTTTTTTTTCTCTCAGTAGCAACGCTTGCAAAAAAAATAAGGAAATAGACTCATTTTGAAAATTTATGTTTTTAATCAATTCTACCCAAGTTCGGTGAAAATAACACCACGCTCCTGCGTATAACATATAACCAAAAAGAAGTAAATTTTGATCTGAATGATTTTGAACAATTTAATGTATCTTTCGTGCATCTTGGTATAAAATTCAGATTAAACGTTAACGTACTGAAAAATTCATCTAAGAGGTGGGTTTTCTTCCTTTTACAACACCATGGAACTAATTATCAGCCTTGGCCATATGACTGTTATTATGTCTCGATAGCGAGTTAAAAGGATGACGTACACTCTATAGAAGAGGTATAGTATGTTCTGTATTATTATTATATCTATATACAAACCTTCTTCTTTTAGGGAAGTATGTATTTCTCCGTTGCGAATAACTAGGTGAATATCGTCTGTTATTTCCAAAGTTATATGATAACACAGCATATCTAAACAAAAAAACCCTTTGATAATTTTATTTATTTTATTGTTTAATAGACCTTTGAAATTTAATACCTTTCGTTATCTCCATATATTTCATTTCAAAGTCTAATGAAATATGTAGAAAGTTAACATAACTGAAGCTCAATAAGTCCATTCAGAAACAATACAATGCGGAGAGGAGCAAAATAGAGGTGTGATCAGGTGTTCACAAAGGAAAAGAACAATATCAACGTTAATATAACATTATATATGATATTTTTTTTAAAAACAATTACAGCTAAATAAGCATAACTACCGTTTATTTGTAGGTAACATTTCGTTTTCTACAATGATTTCCGATGACAATGAACGATATGGTGGAAACTCGTCTACAAAAAATACCCGATTTAAACAACGATCTCTAAAATGATTTGAAATATGACATAAAAAAAACCCCATAGTTTTTTCAAAAGGAACGAATGTCAAAGCAAGTCAAAAACAATATCAAAATACTTAGATTCCAATCAAAGACGCTTAAATTACGTCTTTTATGAAACAACAATCATTTCATTAAAGCTTTCTTAACTGCCATCTAAATTTTCCTGTTATTTAGTTACCTGCACCGTAGAATCTTTCATACGATAAAAGTTCACTTACCTGAAAATATTGCAGTTGTCCAATGTATAAGCATCGTTAGGACAGTTACGACGAGGACAAGATGCAGACCGCCTAGCATGTTGTAGTTCATGATGAAATCTAAAATGAAATATAGAGACACAGGGTAAAAGCAATGAATAATTGATCAATTTACAGCTTTGTGTTGATGAATATTTGACATTCATTGCAAAATATACATCGTTGATTTCTCATGTCAAGCATCAAATAATAAAATTGCAGATTGGAGTAAATAGGATTCAACTGTGTGCGACCTTGTACTGGTAATACACACCAATATCACTTACAACAAATCTAAAACCTAATACATTTATATAAAATAATTATCTAATAAATGAACAATAACAGGGGATGTGCTTGGATGCGTCCATTTGAGTATTTCAAAAGAATAAGATATGTCATTGTAAAATCTGTCATATGAGTTTGTCAAGGCGATAAATTAATTCTAAAGAACACTTCTTCGGGGTTGCGAAATACACTCGGGAAATAAATCAATTACCCTTTAATAACAGAGCTTCAGGCGTATGGCGGTTTACGATGCCAACTCGATTATTGCTCCTTTTTATACCAAAATGTCTAGAAAGACTAGGCTGTGCCATGTGTTATACGAATATAAGACAATACTCTTCAATAGACTACAGACCCATTATTACTTAGCAGAAATATCCTGTGTCTCTCATGTGAAACTAATGCCAAGTCATACAGAGAAGCTGAAGTAGGCTTTTTAATTCAGAAGTACCTATGGTGTACTGGCAGCAAACATTGCCATAAAAGAGAAGCACTGATTAAACATCTGATACCTGCAAAAACTATTCATGCAAATATAATGCACATCTTATCTTTTAATATTTGTTAACAGAAAGTGTCCTATTGTGTTTGACATATGATGTTACGCAGTTTGATCATAATCAAAATGAATATAACATTTTAAAACTATTACCTTATTTTATTTGAGGAGACAAATGAAATGCAATACGAGTTCCTAAAAGGATCGCAAAATAGATTGTTTTTAAAACGAAAGCTTATACTATAAATGCCCCCTAGCTGTCTCTGACATATTTTAAAGAAAGGGATATTATGTTTCCTTGTACTTTTAACTTAATAAATGTTGGATTTTTGAGATACACAAGATTTTTTTAAACTTATGAATCTTTGAAATGCGAAAATGTGCGATACAAATTTTAAAGATCGTCAAAGCTTTATTTCAAGCATATGCCTCTATGACATTTTTCTTTTGCATGTTCTCATATGAATTAAGATGGATATATTTTCCGAATATTTGAGTAGAAAAAAAAATGTCGTTTTGTATTTTATTTGGTATATTGAGCTATGTTGGGTGACATTGGATTAAAATCACACTAATTTTCCCCTGATATAGATTTTATGGAAAAACGTGTAAGAGAGGAGAAATACAATTCTGACATCAAAATTGTCAAATTTTTCATACTGTGATAATTTTTGTACTTGTTTTAATTTTATGACAAGAATAAATCCTGTTTGAATTTTTTTGGAAAGAATTTCAATTTTTAAGCAAGCATAAAGATGATATGAAAAGTAACCATAAAAAATTACATACCAGTGGAAAGTCAAGTCACAGATGAAATATGAACTACTATAATAGAATAATCATATAATATCACCACTTCGATTGCATCTTCATAAAATATCATTATGTATGCTAATACGGGGGTGTAAGGTGATTGCGTCATCTAAGAACACTCCTTTACTATTATTTGGAAGTCAAAATTGGTAACGGGTGTTCTGTTTTGTTTTCTTACATTACCGTTCATAGGGCGTTAGAGTAAAACATTGAGGTTGTAAATAGAAATTTGTAAAATCGATGATGGTAATTAATCGGAAGGTGTTGGAGTAACTGCAGACGTTCACTTGATTAACAACATTTTTATCAAAGAATATATCCCTGGATATTCTTTGAATATTGATGTTACACGCGTCATAGATGGAGGATATTAAAATTCATAAGTAGGAGGGGGTTCCCCTTCTGGTCCATTTATTTTCATTGTAAGGAAAAAGAAAATTTGTTTTATGTAATGCACAGTGCTTTAGTTTTTCAACTTAGACAAAAACTTGATGCATTATTTGAAAATACAGAACATTTACTACAATTATTTTGACAACATCTTTCAAAAATTAAATCAATAGATCTGAAAAAGATTTAATATTGGTTTGCCTTTTGAGGCGTTTCCTCCGTGTTATAGCACCAATTCATACGATAATCAAGGTTTCTCTATGTAAACCCTCTATGAAATTTCTAGAGTCTACGTACATTAAAATGTTTCAATGGTTATATATTGAAATTTAATGACAACCCATGCCTTTAAGTAAAGGGTGCATATCCAAACGTTAATGAACCCTGTAGGATATATTAAAAAGGAAAAGAGAGTATTTAAGAGACTAAGAATCACAGCAAGGCAGCTTCGGTTCCTAAGAATGATTTTTTTCTAATGATTTGTACTCAATGAGAAGGAACCGACATATGAATTTTTAAAAGGATTTCGAAATCAGGAAAATGCTTGTATTTTCAAAATACTCTTACTGGTGTGTTCGAAATCTTTCATTTTTCTGTAAATTATAATATGCGACAATTTTGCAGAAGCTCTGTTGAGATTTTAGTGAGACTACAGTGACACGGAAAAAAGATAATTTGAATTATATATATCGAGAGTATCTCGGTATTGGCACTCAAGGCAATGGAGAAGTGAAGTCCTTATCGTTTAAAAGCTTGCCCTGTAACAGAATCTGTTTTAAAGGAAAATATCATTACAGATAAAACATCCCAACATCTAATGCTATTGATTGATATAAACCTTTGTAATGAAGACACAATGAATCGGATATTGTTACATTCAACACACAATTAACTCAAGATCTGATAAAACAGTTATAAAACTATCCGACAAAAATTTTTTTAGAAGTAGTTTGAAATCGAGAAGCTATTAGTATCTAGAACGAATCCATCGAAGTTTATTTTTGCAAACAAGCAAAGCTTGTAAAGCCTTTAAAGAAAACAAATATTGTTAAAAATAACCACGACAAAGCAAGCGGCATGTTTTTATGTTTTGATAGATTTATCAGCTTAAGTGCTAAAACTAGAGGTACTGTGAGCGATAAGCTCACTAAATGATACCCCCCGCCTCCCATATGGTTTTAACTGGTGAAAAAGTCCATGTTTTCCTGTGGCCGGGAAACCCCAAATATGTGTTGGATCAAAAAGTAAAATAGGAGGTGCACAATGGCAATATGTAATAAAGATTCTGTGAAAGTTTCATCAAATTTTATTCACTGGTATGAGAGGAGTTGCGGATAAAAGATGGGTACCCCAAAGCGTAACAGACGGACGGACGGACGGACGGAAATACCGATTACTATATACCCTCCCGCTTTTCAAGCGGGGGGTATAATAATGGGAACTCCTGTGAGGAGTCCAAAAGCATTTAACTTCAGAACCTTAATTCCTTTAAAAATGTCTTATGATGAGGAGAATTAGCATGATAAAGTACATGCTATGTATATTTCACTTTGTAATACAATTGCTTCCTAGTGTCCCTGCTACATGTACATCAGTTCATGTATCTCTCTGTTATCTCCCTAACCAAAAGTACACCAAACTAACGTCAATCATAGTTAATTAGGGTAATTTTTCATAACACTTCTATAAAATTTATTTAAAACTAAAAAAAGGAAAAGGAGACGTCTTTCTGTGACCTTCAATTCATTTATTTTACATCATTCATTAGAAATATTGCATATTATATATTTTAATCAATTAACATAAGTTTTTTTTACCCTATGATAATTGAGATGCATCCAAGTCTAACTGGTTTTAAATCATGGGAAACCAAAGAGTCTGACACTATATTTCTTATTTGGATGTTTTACAAAGATTGGAACCAAATAACTTAATATATTATGTGATGACCAACTTTCTATCGATATCTTCCATTTTTATGAACCAGTATATTATAAACACCTGAATATGATATTTATACAGATTTTCCCAGTCCATTCGATACTTATAAAATGCCAGGCTTCTTATGAAAAAAGTTGTAGATGCAAAGATAGAAACAATCTTGTTTAAAGTCAACATTTCGCATTTTTTTTACTCGACTCAAAAAACCTATTTGCAAACAAAATCTTAGTCGAATGGTGAGTAACGTCTCTATCACACTATTAGTCCATATTTTTTAAAAATATTTAATTGTCGATGAATTTTATTCGATCATGACAAGAGGCACACAACGCGTATGTTGGCAAAAAAGGAGGCTAACTCCTCCAGGACACCTGATCCCACCTCTGGGTTTAAAAGTCTTTATGTACTCTGCGAACAATTTGCATTGAACATGTATTATCGATAAAAGAATTATTTTAAGGAATGGTAGTTAGATTCCATGTGAATTTTTAACGAAGTCTTATTATATGATACATAATGAAAATCATTACCTTCAGGTGGATCAAATCAATCCTTCAGGTTTCAGTACTATCCACATTTAAGGAAATAAACATGTTTTCTAGAAATTTGCTTTCAGTATAATTTTTCCATTATTTGCATTTGTTTTTATGGAAGAAAATTGAGAGAGTTAGATACATCTCAGGAGACACGTAAATAAACCGATGTCACGACACGCCGATCGAAACTCTAATGAAAAAATATTCTACAGAGGCGAGCTAATGCAATTTGCACTTCTTTTGGTAACTGCAATAAAAATTGATGTTGAGTAGAAATCCTTAACATACAACATCAACATACCCTTTAATGTTGCAGAAGCGACGTTTCTTCTATGCAGATCACAATGACGTGCGATAGAGAGTGGTTGTGACTTAAGTATCCATTAATCTTAACTAATTTCAAATTCGATTTACCTTTTAAGAGAAATATGATATCTTTGACTTTGCATTATGAATAATTGATGTATGATGAGACACCTCCATTTGACTCTATACTTGACCTTGCCTTAAAGAGAAATGGTATGTTTCTGTTATATGTCTGTCCCATATCAGAAGGGAATAAAACAGTATGCACTTTCACTACTTTGTAGGATACATGCTTATTTATATAATTAATTAATAATAATTATTAATAATTAATAATTAAATAATTAATATTCAGTAACTGTGAAACATGAGCGTAAGCTATAGTCTGACCCAGGAGCAAGCAGAAAAGACACAGGTAAATTAAGATATATCTGATATCTTTCAAATATCATTGTTTTACATGAAATATTTATAATTCCCCCCGCTTGAAAAGTGGATGAGTATATAGTGATCTGGATGTCCTTCTGTCCGCCTAGCTGTACGTCCGTCCGTTCGTCTGTCTGTACATTCGGCCGTCTCTTGCGGTTTGGGGCATTCATCTCTTATTCGTAGCCCCTCCTATACCACTGAATGAAATATAAAGTTATTTTCACAGAATGTTTCTTAAATAGTGCCATTGTACACCTTCTTTTTTATTTTTTGATCGGACGTGGCACATCTTTTGGATTTCCCATAACAAAAAACATGGACACGACCATTCTTTCTATAATATTGTAGGGTAAATACTAGGTGGCTGAACTCATCCAAAAATGAAGAAATAACATATATTTTCATTTCACTGAAGTATATTCTTGAAATCGTCGCTGAAAGTGACCGAGTTAGGGCGCATTTTCACCGACGTTTCCATGTCTTTTTTTTCATCTACACAAAAACTGTTTTACACTGAATAAACGAGAAAATCTTGTGTGACAAAGTGAATTCTTTCACAGTTACAATCCTGTACCTTGTGTGAAATTCTAAATATCCAAACTTAATTTGTATTTTTTGCCATAAAATGTACTTTTTAAATTACATATGTATATTTTCCTGATATAACAACGTTCTCAAAAATATTCAAACTATGATATACAACATTGTATTTCATGTATATGCAATGCATCTGTCCTCCAACAAAATTTAATTAAATTAGAAAAATTTATATGAATTTTTCGATTTAAATAAAACTTGAGAAAACACTAATTGATAAAATATGCCACGATGGTATGATTGTTTTTATAAGTACACTTTATTTTTGGCTTTCAAGTCATGGCTCATGTTATGTATGTTACTCATCTTGGTGTTGAGCGAAGTCCATGAAGAGAACTAAGCATTTTTCCTTTTTCTCATAAATCACAGATCTTTCTCAGTCAAAGGCGAAGGCAAACATAATATTGATTTACTTCAAGACAGTTCATTTCTTTATTATAAACCTACGCTTATATAGTTGAAATTTGATCATCTAAAATTGCTCTGTATACGAATTGTGAACATAAACCTATAACTTATTCATCCCCCATGCAATAAAATCATACAAAGATGCAATTAATTTTCCTTGCCTCTTCTTTATAGAATTATTATATATGTACCTATGCCTTACTTCATATCACGTCTTTCTTGCACAGGAATAATGAAGAATGAAGAGTTGTGTGAGACAGAGCATGATATTTTGGAAAGACGTATATGTATCTTGGAGACAACTTCAAAATCCAGCCTTAAGTCTATAACTCTGACAGCTGGTGACAAGATCCTATCTCTTGCATGCTTCTTTAGAGTAGCTCTCAATACGATGTTTTTGCAAAAGGTATGACGTATAATAACTGAGGTATAAAAGACAAAGATTCTCATTATAAGCACAGATATTATGTTTGGTTCAGAACCGTAGCTAACTTTGAGAAATTCAAAATCATTAAGAACATTTCGTTTGCCATTGGAACTTTCAACGACAAAACTTGTTAGAATTGTATCAATCGTTTTCAGTTTTAAAAATATCATTTTAGAACGTTAAAGTCATACCATGGAATGAAGTTAATTACCTGTACTACATGTAATTATGCATTGCACTGCACTTTATGCGAACACATAATTGAGAAAATAATTACCTTGCCTTCCTGGGTTTTCTTTAGGGAATAATTCAGAATCCACTGAAAGAAACAAACGTAATAACAGCCTTTAAACGCCTTCATGTATAGAACAACTCTTAATATTCAATGATTTCATCCCATTACTCGTGGAATTCTTTATGAAATAATTATTAAGACGTTGAGTACTCTTGGGGTATCTTTTGAAACAATGCAGTTTCAGTCATCCAAACATATCAGTTTGGGATGGGGTCACTCAGCATAATCAATAAATAGAATCAAGAGCTTTTCTCCTATTGGAATAAATACATAGATATTTTTCTAATACAGAATTTTTAGGATATTTGCTCCTCATTCAGAAACTCATTAAATTGGAGTTTAATTAATTACAAATCAAAATAGAATTTGACATTGAAAGCTGACCTTGCATCAATTCTCCTTTAATGCATTTCTATGTAAGCCAAGGTTTCTTGAAGACATAGAAACTTTATTGTTAAAAAATGACAATTGCACCATACAAAGGTTTTACAAGTATATACAATCTTAGACATTAATGATGATTAGCATAATATAAAATTAGAAGCGATTTGTGAAATCTCCAAATGACAGCATAAGCAAAACGCGGATTTATAGAATCTAAAACGATGAGAACTTTAGAAAGTGCACTCTGCGAAAATTGAGAAACATGAAAGTTTCTATGTAAAATATATTTTATGATTTCAGCTTTTTACACGAAGAAGCATTTTAAAAGAAATTAAGTCAAGAAATAAATTAGGAGCTTTGGGAAATCAACGGTGCAACTTTGAGTTGTACGAGTAATTTCTTGTCCTAGATAGCAAATAAACTGAGACATGACACATGCTTTTAGATAATGAATGGAAAATAAATTACAAGACCAAAATAATCGGTATTCGTGACTAGATATAAAGATCCTGTTCTTTCCAAGAGTATCTTTATTCTTTATCGAACTTTGATAATTTGTAGATAAATGTCAATTGGGTCCTTTTAATATGATGGGTTTATACCGACTTAAGAGATAAATAGAATTTTACATGAATATTTCATTATATTTTAAGAGGCCTACGATGTACTTTTAGGACTGAAATAATTGCGAAAACCTCTTAAAATGATACAGAAGTGACATTTTGAATACATGTAACTGAAGCAAATGTGATTTGTTTTAAATATCGTGTGTTGTGGCTTAGTAACTTAACATATTTTACAATCTTAGAGCTGCTGGATAAAGCTCTTAGGGAACATTTCAGTATCTCTCACTGGTTTTAGAGATTGACCCTGAACTAAAACCGTGTCGAAGTTCATTTCGGAATGAAAAATATGGAGATGACGAACAGTATTCAAGCTCAATTGTCTATAAAACAATAAAAATAGGAGCAGAGCGAACATGGACCTCCGAAACAGAGGTGTGATCAGGTGCTATGGAGGAGTGAGCATCCCCTGCCGACCGCTCATACCCGCTGTGTGCTCCTTGTCATGATAGGGAAATAACGGAAAAATCCGTCGTCAATTCAGTGTATAAATAATAGACTAGCAATTAGTATGAAAACGTCAGTCAGCATTTGACTCAATGATAAATTGTATTTTCTGACAAGGTCATTGTATCGACGATAGAACTTCCGAAACGATGTCTTGAAACGAGACTGCTGATGTTCTTGTGTCATCAACTTGTTTGTCAATAATTTACATCGTTTTAGAAATTATACATTCGTAAGGAATGCTCTTGCGTATCGAATAAACTGAGAGATTTAAACTCCGTATGCAGGTGAAGAAGGAATATTGCCGCAAATAAGTAAGGGAAGTTGACGATTGAAAAGTTTATCATCACGTTTATCATAGAGCTTGGTTGTTAGATTACCATTAACGTCTTTTTTTAAGTAAAATATCCAAATATAAAACAGATGTGTCAAGCTTACAGGGATATATTGTATCAAAATAAGAATGGAAATAACCATTGTTAATTGACAGTACGTTGTCGATATATCTAAATGTCAAGCTGACGGTCATAGCAGCTGTTTTCTTCTTTTCACGTATAATATTTTGGACAAATTCTGCTACATATGAATACAAAAATAAGGGGGCGTAATTGGTACCCATTGGAATTCCAATAGATTGTTGGAGGACCTGGTCTCTAACAACCACATAGATATTGTCAATCGGAAACTGAGGTATATTTTCGATGTTAACCTCAGAGTACTTTCGTGTACAATCATAGTGTTTTTAAACAAAATAAATTTGCAAATGACCGACGACAAGGTAAGTTAGTTATTAGATCCTATATCCCCTATCTATTTCTACTGTGTGCTGAAATTTTGGGCATTTTCAATACATAAAGATAAAAATGCATTCATATTTCCTAAATTTTCATGTTTTTATTTGGTCAAAAATGGCCGAAAATGGCCAAATTCAATGGATCCATCTCCATGGCAACCGGGTGCACGTGGGAAACTTCTAACACCATATATGCTGGTTTTGTACCAAGGTGCACCTGTGGTGCAAATTTCATCAAAATCGGAGATATGTCGTTTCCTAGTAAATTTTTTGGTGCTTACAGAGAATGCATGTTAATTTGCAAAAAACAAAGATTTTATATGTCAATTTTAGTAGTCCCCGCCCACTGACGTCAAACACAAAGACAGCTGCACGAGATTTACATGCATATTAGGTCTCCTGAGCATCAGACAGAGATACGTAAAAGCACGATAATTATATGCATATTAGGCTTCCTTAGCTCCAGTCCTATCGCTTGGCGACATTTACATTCCGGTAGAATGATCAAGGTATCAACTCAATTAATTTTAAAAGAGATATCACAGAGAAAGAAATATATACAGATAACGATGACATAACATTTTAAGCCCTTTAACCG